CCAGCTCCTCGAGGTACGGCGGTAGTTCGGGATGTGGGAGCTCGTACTGGCTAGGTAGAAGCCGGAGTAGGTCTGCCTCCAGTTGCTCCCTCTGGTACTTGCCCTCCTGCTCCGCCATGCCTTGGTCACGCTCAATCGTGAGTGGGTCTCCCATGAGGTCGTCCGTGATATCGAGTAGCAGGTCCTCGTCCACTTGTCCTCCTGCTCCCCAGGCGTCCCGTAGAGCGTTCTGGAGTCCTGCCGTTTGCCGATCATGCACTCGTTGGAGGTCTTGTAGCTTCTGCTGCCTCTGTATGTCGCCCATGTGCTGGATGTGGGCGTAGTGCCTCACCGCGGCCTGCATCTCCTGCTGGTGCTCGTGCTGCAGAGTGCTGTGGTACTGCTGAGACGCGTGGTTCTCCAACTCCTGCTGGTGCTGTAATGCCTGGAGCTCGCTCGTGGCTGCTGCTTGGCGCTGCAGAGCCACCTCCTCCATCCTTTGAGCTTTGTCCACCGCCTCCTGGTGCTCCCCGACGCGCTCCAAGTACTTCCCCTGCTCGTGCTGCATCTCGTACGCCTTCACCTGGATGGCTGAGTGCTCCAGGTTCAGGGCGACCCGCATCGCTTCGCGCCTGTTGGCCTCTTCCTGGTGCTCGTAGGCCATCTGCTGGTAGGTCACTGCGATCTGCAACTCCTCCTCCTTGTAGGCGCTGCGCCGGGCGCATCGTTCCTGGTATTCCGCCTCCGCCATCTCCTGCGTCGCCTTTTCATTGTGCTCCTGCGCCATCTTGTACCACTGGGCCTCCTGAGCCGCCATCTGTCTCACAGCCTGCTCCTCCTGCCTGGCCTTCTCGACCTGCTGCGTGTAGATGGCTGCTCTTCTCTGGTCTTCCTTGTGCATCTCCTCGCGTAGTATCTTCTTTTCCAACTCGAGGTGCTTTTGCAAGTCCACGAGCATCCCTTTGGCCCTCTCCTCCTGTGTTCTCTGGCTGCCTCTCTGCGCCTCGTATGCTTTCGCTTCCTCCTCCTCCAGCTTGGCGTTGTGGTGTCTCTTGAACGCGTTGACCTCCCATGTGTGCCACTCCTGCTTGGCCAGCTGCGCTTCAGTCGTGCGGATCATCTTTTGCGCCATGGTCTGCTCGCAGGCCTTCCGCTCGCTTTTGTGCTTAGACTCTGCCTGTGCCAACAAGTCTCTTTGCTGCTGTTCCTTTCTCTGCTGCAAGTCGAGCCTCTCAATCAATTTCCTGATGGCGTCTTTGATCTCGTCTGGTGCTGCTGGGGCCGATCGTGCAGTTGTTGCTGCTCCCGGGGAGGCACTCGCTGCTCTGCCTGGCTGTGCTGTGGCTGGTGCCGCTAGTGCTGCAGCTGGGTCGCGCCTCCTCCTCGCTGCCGGGTGTGGCGTGCGTCCTCTGGTGGGGTCCTCGCTCCCGTCCTCCTCTGACGACTCCTCCTTCACACCCGCTGACTTTGCCATCTGATCTCTAGTTTCCCTCAGCAGGGTCTTGTAGACCCTGATGGTTCTGGCGGCCGCCGCCTCCTGGTCGAGCATCCTGCTGAGCCGCTTCTCCATCTCGGTGTGCTCCTCCTCCAGCTTTTCCAGCGTAGCCCTGAGCTGCTTCATGCGCTCTTTGTGGGGCAAGACGAAGGAGATGTTCGTGGCAGTGATCGCCGCTTCCTGCTCGAGGCTTGATGTGCACAATCCCGCCAGCCTAGCGCCAGCAATGTTCTCGGAGAGGCGTCCCAGCCTGTGGCACTTCGTCTTGTACCACACGAACCTCATTTCCTCGTCGTTTGGTGGTGCGGACCAGCTCTCATGCTCCATCGCCACGGCGAAGGAGACTGGCGCGATGCTGTCCAGGACTGCCTTCTGCTGCGGGCTGTATTGGAAGCTGCCGATGTGGGTTGCGGCTGGAGCGTCGTGCTGGTCCCTCCTTCTGCGCCTGCTGCTCCTCCTTCTGGCAGAGGCGCTCCTCCATGGTGCACTGTGCTTCCAGTGCTGGGCGCTGTCGCTTCGCTGCTGGTGCTGTGGGTGCTTTGCTGGTGCTGGTGGTGGGCTGGCTGTTGGTGGTGCTTGTGGGACTGAGGCTGCTGCTGCTGCTGCTGGCTGTGCTGCCACCTCTGTGCGTTGTGCTGTTGGTAACCGTTGTGCTGGTGTTGGTGATGCTGGCCATCCCCACGGGCCCACTCCCAGGGTCGCCCTCCGATGGCTCCGTAGTCACCAGTCCAGTCTCTGGCACTGCTGCTGCGCCTGCGCTGGTGCTGCTGCTGCGCCTTCGTCGTCATCTCGACGTCCGTGTGGTGCCCCTCGGTGTGCTGCTGGTTGCGCTGGGGCTGCTGCGCCGAGTGGTGCTCCTCCAAGAGCTGCTTGGCCGCCGCCAGCCTGAGGAGGACGCGCGCGTTCCCCCTCTTGTCCCGCCAGCGGCGGTGCCAGGCAGGCTCTGGCTCGGCCCTCCAGCCGCGCGGCGTGCTGCCTGGGGCTGCCGCTGCCGCGGCCGCTAGCGCCGCTGCCCGCGGCGGGGGAGCTGGGAGGCGCCGAAGGCCCCCCGCCGCGAGGTATGGCGCGCGCGGCGCGCTTCAGCCCAACCTTGCGGGCTGGCCGATGCGATCCAGCGCCCTGCCACCGCGATCGATCGGGCGGCAGGCGCGACCGAACCCCGACCGATTGGTCGGGATCCGCTGGCCCGCGCGAGGCTAAATGGGCTTATTATGATGATACTGATGATGATCCTGATTCTTATGATGATGATGATACTGTTGCTGCTGCTGCTGCTGCTGATGATGATGATGATGAAGATGGCCGTGATGATGATAATGAGGTGATGCTGCAGCTGATGATGACGATGCTGATTGTGATGATGATGCTGCTGCTGGTTATGATTATGATGATTCTGATGCTGATTCTGATGATTCTGATAATGATGATGATGATGGTGATGCTGATGATGCTGATGCTGATGATAATGACTACGATGATGTTGATGATGATGATGCTGATGATGATAATGCTGCTGCTGCTGATGCTGATGCTGATGCTGATGATGATGATGATGGTGGTGGTGGTGGTGATGATGATGATGATGATGATCATCATCATCATGATCTGGTACTGGTCTACGGGTCGGCGAGCGGGAGTCGATCACGCTGTGCAAAATTCCAGTGCGCATGCGCTGGGGTCCCTCGAGGCCACCGGCCAGACAGGCGGTACCCGCTACCGACCCTGCTGTCTGAGGCCAGCAGGGCCGACGGCAAGCAACTGCCGCGGAAACCCCGACGACTAAAGGACATCGGGCCCGCGGCGGCGTGCCAGGGCCTCTCTAGGCCCAGGCCAGTGCCGCACAGAATTCCGAGCCGAGTCCAGCCGACGAGGAGGGCGCTTGCAGGCCGCCCACACGGAAGACCTGCAGGCCGAGACCCCAAGGTTCGCACGGACGCGGGACGCCAGGGCCAGCGCTAGGCCATGCTGCTGCTGATGCTGATACTGTTGTTGTTCTTGATGATGATGATGATGATGATGATGATGATGATGATGATGATGATGATGGTGATGACGATGACAACGACGACGACGACGACGATGACGAAGATGATGATGATGATGATGATGATGATGATGATGATGATGATGATGATGATGATGGTGATGACGATGACAACGACGACGACGACGACGACGACGACGACGACGATGATGATGATGATGATGATGATGATGGTGATGATGATGATGATGATGGTGATGACGATGACAACGACGACGACGACGACGACGACGACGACGACGACGACGACGATGATGATGATGATGATGATGATGATGATGATGATGATGATGATGATGATGGTGATGGTGATGATGATGATGATGATGATGATGATGATGATGATGATGATGATCGTGGTGGTGGTGGTGGTGATGATGATAATGATGCTGACGACGCTGCTGATGATGAGGAGGCTGATTTTCGATGATGATGATGCTGAGGAGGAGAGATGATTATCCTGATTATGTATGCTGATTATGATTACCACAAAGGTTTGTGACTATTATGATGATGTCGATGATGTTCCTGGCGATGATGATGACGATGACGATGACGATGACGATGAGGATAACGATGATGAAGATAATGATGATGATGCTGATTATGATGATGATGAGGATGCGGTTGAGGATGATGATGAGGATGGTGATGATGCTGATGATGCTGATGATGACTATGATGGTGATGATGATGCTGATGATGCTGATGATAATGATGATGATGATGATGGTGGTGGTGGTGGTGATGATGATGCTGATGCTTCTGCTGCTGCTGCTGCTGATGATGATGATGATGATGATGATGATGATGATGATGGTGATTATGGTGATGGTGATGGTGATGGTGATGGTGATGGTGATGGTGATGGTGATGGTGATGGTGATGGTGATGATGGTGGTGGTGGTGGAGAAGGAGGAGGAGAAGGGACGGAGGAGGAGGAGGAGGCGGAGCAGGAGGCGGAGGAGGAGGAGGAGGAGGAGCAGGAGGCGGAGGAGGAGGAGGAGGAGGAGGGGCATGGTGTTGGTGAGGAGGAGGATGTCATCTTCAGTAACGCGTCCCGTCGTTCGGTCGTTTGATCGTTCCTTCTTTCTTTCTTTTTGCCTTTGCTTTTTCCTTCCTCTCCCCCGGGCGAAGGCCAGGTGGAGCCATCGATGGCGCCAGACGTGTCGGCATGCTGGCATGTCTGTGCGTCGTGCCAGCGTCTTCCACTGCCGAGCTCGTCGGCAGCCTGTCCCCAGACTTCTCACATTCTCTCCTGTCGGTCCGTGGCCCCCGGAAGGAAACTCGAGGACCCCATTCGAGCGCGTTTTGAGGCTCCGGAGGTCCTGTCCTCAGACTTGGCTGGCCAGGAGCCAGAGCAGCCTCTTCCTCCTCCCCGCATTCCCCACAGCCTCCTCCTCGTCCTCGTCCTCAGCCTCCTCGCTCCTCCCGTCCCTCCCATCCTTCCCGCGGCCGCCCCCGCGGATCTCCCTCGCGGAGGAGCTGCAGAGATTGCGCGACACGGGCCCCGACGGGCTCCGGCCGCTGTACACCTTCAAGACAGGCCAGCGCGCGCGCAGCCGAGCGCGGGGCGCGCCTCCAGGGGGGTGCGGCGCCCCTGAACCGTGTGCGAGGGTGAGGGCGAGGGCGAGGGCGGGGGAGGAGGAGGAGGAGGAGGAGGACGAGGAGGAGGAGGAGGAGGAGGAGATCGTCGTCGTCGAACGAAGGGAATGGCAGTCCGCCGTTCTTAACTCAACTGGCACTCTTATACCTGCTAGATACATCATGCAACAGCAGACAGATACGAGAGACCAAATCACAATATCACAACATCAAAGACGAAGTGCCTCGCGCCAGGCCACCTGCACAGGATCGGCGAGAGGGCCTGTCGGGCGAGGTCCGACAGGGCGGTCGAGCAAACCTGACACGGACACAAGCACGGCGCGGGCCGCCGCCTCGGCAGCGCGGCGGGCCGCGCGACGGCGCCTGGCCTCCTTTCGATGAGCGGCGGTCCGCTAACGCTGGGCGTCGGTGAGCGGGAGGGGAGGCGGCGGGGGGAGGGGAGGGGGAGAGGGGGAAGGCGACACAGGAGCGAGAGCAGAACCGAACGCCCAAGCGGCAGGGTCCTCCACAGCACAATCGAAGAAAGCCTGCTCCTCGGAGGCTTCGACATCCAGGGAGGTGTCGCCAAGACGGGTGCTCGCGGGAGGGCCTACGGCCTGTGGATCCTCCTCCTTCGCCTCGGCTTCAGACTCAGACTCCTTGAACCTGTCAGGCTCTGGCTCCACTTGCCGTCGCCTTCGGCGTCTACTCGTGGCCCTCGCAAAGCTAGGCTGGAGGCTGGGGTCGGGGGGGGGCGGAGGAGGAGGGACCCCCTCCCACGAGACAAAGAAGTCCCGAATCTCGCCCTCAACGAGGGCGGCATCCTCCCAAAGCTTAGTGTCAGCCTGGCTGGCCGACTCTGCACACACCTGCAATACACTGGCACTGATGCCCTTGGCGATCGCCAGGCATATACCTGGAGGATAAATCTTCTTGGGCGCGGTGAGAAAACGGCCCTGGTCCAGCACATGAACCTCGTGCACGCTTCCACGGTCGTTTCGGCTGATCTTTCCTTGCCCGTGGAGCTCCCCTCCAGTTTCCAGGACCTCTGCGCTCTCTTGGGCAAGGTGGGCTTCCAGGTGGCGTCCGATGACCACTGGGCCTTGCTTGGCCTTGCCAGGCTGGAGGGCCCCGACCCCTCCGAAGCATTGATCGGGGCACGCTGGCGGGCGGCAAGGCCTCTCCTGTCCCTCGCGCAGGTTAGCAACTGGCCGGCTGAGGATATCAGATCGGCAGAGCTCCTCGCAGTTATGTTCTGCGTCGCCGTGGAGAAATGCGAGGGGGATCTCAAGGATGCGTTGGCCGTGCGCCGCAAACCTCGCGCCGGGAAGCTCCCCCGGTACTGCGAGTTGGGTGCCTCTGCGGTCAATGCCGTCTCTAGCAACATCCAGGGCCCGCCGTCACGTTCTACACACAATGGTCGAATCTCCTAGGTGTTTTCCCTTCCGCGGTTGCTGACTGCCTTGAAGCGCGCAGGACCTCAGAAATGTCGGAGAAGGGGGGGGAGAAGGCTTGGGAGGAGTTGAAGGGAACGGACGCTGCACTATGGGCTCCCCACGATTCCAACGCGCTGACCCGCTTGCTTGCCGCGTTCCTTGGCCGGACGGCCCCCGAATCCCGTCCCAACACCTTGGTCATGGTCGCTACAATCCCCTGCGCGCTCGGCGTGACCACGGTCGGGAACGTCCTCGACCTCTGGCACTCTCCCCTCCTCTCGGAAACGTGGATGGCCGTCGTCAGGGGCATTGCTTTCGCAGCCTACTCGTTCGAGCTCGTCGCCCCCGGCCTTTTCGACTCCGTGCGGCACTACAGGGGCGGCCTCGCACCGTTTTCCATTCAGCGCGTCCGCCCGCGCACCATTCCGCGCATGATCACCATGAACGCGATTATCCAGGTGGACGGAGTCCAGGCTTTCACGTCTGACGTGCGGGTGGAGGAGCTGACAAACTTCATGGGCCTCGGTCAGCTGCAGTTTTTTGGGTCGTGTCCTTCAGGCATCACCGCAGGGGCCATTCAGCATCAGGAAGCCCCTGCGCGTTGCCATTGATCCCATCTTCCCGCCAGCGGCCTCGGACTTAGAGGTCGAGGCTTTGCTCCGGCGGCTCCGTCGCAACATGACCCTGCAGGACACGTTCTTCGGCCCTCCTTCCCTCGCCAACTCGCCCGACGCGCTTCTTCTTGAAGGTGGGGGTGCCCGGGTATTCCATCACTACTGGCCGCTTTGCAGCCTAGCGCTGCCGCTAGAGGCGGGCCGAATCCTCGTGGTCACGGACTCCACTGCCGACGTCTGGAAGCTCACGATGGAGCAGGTCTACCAGACAGACAAGGCCCACGCGGCGCAGCGCTTGAAGTTCAAGCCCTCCTGGTGCGGAGGCCGAGTCTTCGCGACTCCTGACGCGACGGGCTCCCAGCCGGCGGCCAATCGGAGGCGCGGCAATGAAGCGCGCTCGAGCACGGGCCTCGCGGCTGAGATCATCGTCGAGGGCGACTTGGGCGGGGGGGGCGGCGAAGTCCTGGATAAGCTCGTGGCTCACCTTGTCCAAGCTACGGGGCTTCCTTTGGCTGAGGCCGTCAACTTGGACCAGCCTGCCCCTAGCGAGCATGTGCACTTAGCCTCGCGGGTCGCTCAGGCGCCCTCGGGCGCGGCAAAGGTTTGGCTAAGACCGCCGCGGATGTCCGGAGGATCTACGACTCGCTTCGCGGCCAGGTCGCGCAGGTGGGTCTGGATTACTTGGCGATCGAGGTTAAGAACGACCTCGTCACCATGGGTGAGGCGCCGGGGGGTGGGGGGAGGGCGCGGCGGTGAGTGCCCGCCGCGCTCTCCAGTCCAACGTGCGCCACATTGGCATTCAATGCACGACCTGCGACGGCCGCCTGTGCTTCGCCATCCTGATCGCCTTTCGAGTCCACGTTGCTACGGCTTCGCCGGCTGGTTTAGGCCGCCTCGACTTGGGGCCTGGTGCGCGCTGCAGCCGCCTCTCCACCTTTCGCTCCGTCCCGTGCGTCTATGACCGTCTTCGCCCTGCTCTACCTCAGTTTCTGTTCGGCCTCGACGACGTTCCACCTGCGCGTGCCGACGATTTTTCTCATCGAGATGCTCTTCTCCGAGATTCTACCGTCGACAGCGGCTCGGGAGGGCTGTTGGTGACGTCGCTGCGGGCGCGATCCTCCCGCCGCCCCTCTCCAAACACGTCTCCACTGCTGGGGGTGGGCGGGCCGCGAAGGGGCAATTCCAGGGCGAGTGCTTTATTGTCTCCTGGAACTCCGGGGCTCTTTTCTGCACGGGCCTCGTCCGACACGAGCAGAAAACCAGCATATGTCGGCGAGTGAATGGGGAAGGCGGACATCCTCCTCCTGCAGGAGACGCACGGAACAGACGTGGGCAGTGCAGCTTGGAGGATTCCTTCCGGCGCGACGGCCCGGTGGTCCCATGGGCCGACTCCGGGGCACGCTGGAGCCGGGATCCCGGTTTAAGATGCGCTCTTGCAGCCCTTCCGCGAGGTGCCGAAATTGGTTCATGTTTGGAGGGGTCGCGCTGCGAAGCTCTGCCTCCGAGGCCCCCGCGGGTCCTCGGACATCGTCGTCGCGTCCTTCCAGACCGGTTCGAACGGCGACCTCGCGGAACACGATCTCCACGGCGTCCCGCCCAGCATGCGGGGCAGCGTGTGTTCTTTCCCAGACCTCCGCTCCCTCCTCCATTCCCGGATCTCCGAGAACGTGCCGTCGCGCCTGGATTGCTTGACGTTGCTCAGCGGTGACTTCAACTACGTGGCAGACGAGCGTGACCGCGTCGCAGTCGCGTCTACAGCGTGCACCGGGCGCTGCGATGGGAAAGAGGAGAAGCACTTCCAGCGCGTGTTGGGCGCTAGATGTGGCTTCGTGGAGTTTTGCCAGTTTCGGCTTCATCTCGCGCCAAGCTGGACAGGTTGTGCAGCAATCGCCGCGTCGCCGAGCGGCTCGACCGCCACCGCCAAATATCCCCGCTGGAGTGGAATCATGGCCTGTCTCACCATCGGGCTCTCTTTTTGCGGCGCGTGTCGTCTGCCGCAGCGTGCTGATTCCGAAGACCGGCCACTACCCCTTCGTGCTCTCCACCACGCGGATTTTCCACGTTGCCTCATTCTGGAGTACGGCGAAGATCTGCAGCAACGCCCAGATAGCAACCCCATGGACATGCTTCGTCTATACAAAGAGGCCATGCGGACGGTCACCATGAGGCTGGACTCCACCATAGGCAACGCCCCAGTGGCCATCGAATTGGAGGACCGCCTTGGCGTCGCGCTGCGGCTGATCCGCGCCGTGGAGGGGGGGCGGATTCACGAGATTTCGCGCTGCTTGGAGCGTTGCCCAGGCTTGGCGGACCACGTTGTGAATCCATGCGCCGTCGACGGCAACGCGTGGCGCGAGCTCGGAGGTCCTCGGAGGCGCGCCTCAGAGTTGGCCTGCCAGCGCGCCTTGGGCGAGCTAGGAAATCCGCGCTCCGACCTCGCGGGGGGCGACGAGTTCATGACAGCCCGCGCTCGGCAGAACAACATCCGGCCCCTTTGCCGCCCTGCTCCTGGGCGCTCGGGCAGCGTGGGGGCAGTCCAGAAACCGGGCGGGGGCGCGGTGGTTGGCCCCGCCGCCGCGGCCGGCGCATTGCGCGCGCATTGGGCGAACGTATTCGAGAAGGTTGGCATCGACGCTGGGTTGCTGGACGCGTTGCTTGACGAGGATAGCGACGCCCGCACGCTCGCGCGTGCCGCGCCCCCCAGGATGCAGCTGAGGAAGTCGCATTTCGTTAAGGCTATCCTGACTGCCAACAACTCCGCCCCAGGCCCCGATGGCGCCTCCTGCCTGGCCTGGAGGCGTCGCGCCAAGTTCTCGGCCAGCCTGCTTTTGGACGTCGCGCGCTTTCTCGGCGAGATGGGCGCGCAGGACGCGGATTTGAAGGTGATGGGCGACTTCGACCACAGCTTGCTC